TTTTTTTGATTCTTCTCACTTTCATTCTTTCAATGAGCTTCAGGTAACCTGCGGATCACGCGTTTGCAGTGGAAATGGCCCTAACAAACGACTTGCGAAACGCGCAGCTGCCGAAGCGATGTTAGCCGAAATTGGATATGTGAAACCTCTACCTCCACCTGGTAAAAGCTTGCTCAAGAAGAAGACAGATTCTCAGCTAAATATAGGTACGGCCTTCAGTTTTGAGTTTCTTTTTCTAACGCATTCCTGATGAGCTGCAGGAGTTTTTGATCCCAATGATCTGGTAACACCATTGGTGCCAAATAATTCGGGTGACTCATCGGATAATCATACGGAACAACAGGAATCTCATGGGAATGATGAACAAGCAATACATGAGGGATTACTGTAAGTTGTTGTCACCATAAGAGATAATCTAATTTATAACTCTTTTCAGAGCTCTTTGCATAGATGAGCATAATACCCATCAAGGAAACAAATCTCCTGACGCAGAAGCGGAATCGCCTGGCACTGTACCGCCATCGCCAGGACGTCGTCGTGTGACTTTTAGCAATCAAGTGAGGGCGTGTCCTCCACCAGGTTTGTGTTTTTGAACATCTTTTCTCTGTACACCCTATTTTGCAATTTTACGCTTTAGATGATAGCAAGTATCCGGAACCAGAACTAGCACCACTCAAAGCCGACGTATTAGTGGAGGGACGTGTGAAACGTATCAGAAGAAGCAAAGAGGCGAAAAGGTATGTTCTGGTTATATTCCGAAAGGCCAAAAGCATGGTTCAAATTTCCACTTATTTCAAGTTTTTTTAAGGTGCTTGTCTGATGATCAGAAATGTGAAATTCGTGAGATTGCAAGAGCAACAATCCAGGCTTTGCAGACTCCAGCGATGATTGCATGTGGAGACGGTAAGTTTTGCTTATTTTGCTCAAAGGTTAGATCAAAAGCTCTGCACTCTTGCTTTATAGATTGTTAAAATTGGATTTATTGACGTATAGTATAATAGTGGTAGTATACATGCATTA